GTTTGCTGGCGGAGAGACTTTTGATCCGGCCGCGGCCCAGCCACAGGAGGATTTCGGGGCACCAGCGGGACGCCAGCGAGACACCGCGGGCCACCGTTTGCCAGTGGAAGGGACTTTTGGTCCGGCCGCGGCCCAGCCACAGGAGAATTTCCTTTCGCCCGCCCACGCAGCTTCGCCTCGCCCGCGCGCGCGCGCGCACGCACGCGCGGCACGCGCGACACGAACCCGAAACTTAAATCGATTTCCCGGCATGGGGGGTCTCCGTTTCACGTCGGACTCACCCCTCAACCTCCGATGACCAGCATTTTAGATGCGCATCATCAGTGTTGGATGCAGTTCGGCCTCGAAGAAGTATTTTATTATGACGGAGAAGGTGCTTTCAATAATGGCACCGCAAAGGCAGTCCTAAAGGCGCAGGGCGCTGAGCTGAGGATGCGTGCGCGTGGACAACACGCTACGACTGTTGAAGCTAGAAGAAATAACATCTTACGACACCTACTTCACGCCATGGAGGTTGAATTCAATAGGTTCGACCTATCACTTGGGTTCACCCGGCGCTTGCATGTGGCTCTGTCTGCCGCCAATGCGTTTACCGTCTTTAATGAGGCACCTCCATGCAACGCACTGTTTGGCCGACAACCTGCGAAATTGCCCGACTTGCCTGTTCTAGACAACGAACGGCGGACGGAGACATCTAATCATGCTCGAGAACATATTATCCGCCGGGTAAGCATTGAGGCTATCACTCAAGCCATTGCAATAGCGAAAGCGAACCGTGCACTACGGACCAAGACGACCATCACTGGTCAGCATTACTATGACGAAGGAGATCAGGTTGACCACCGTCGTCCCACTACTACGAAAGACGACTGGGGTGGCTGGAATGGACCCTTCCCGGTCGCGCGGAATGACCCCGACAGGGGTCAAATTTTCATGGGGGCTGGGAACTGCGATTTACGTGTCCAGCGCGGTGACGCACGACATTCACTGCGCAGTGAAGCTGTGATCACTCGAGAGATTGGCTCGGGCAACGCAGATTACGGACTGCGTTGGTATTCGTAGCCAGTCTACCTGCGGGGCGACCTGCTATGACCTATGGATAGCTCCCGACCAAAAGGGAGGAGTACTCCAGATGACGAGTACGAGCCGACTATCTCTTCTAAGCTACACTTAGCTTCTCAGTACCTCATCATGAACTTCTTTGCTTTTGAAAGCGTAATTTCAGCCAGGTTGGCCAGTGGCATTCACGAGCTACCTCCGGTGATGTATGCTGGCGGTTGTACCTTGGTGCGCTATGACAACGACGTGGGCCCAGGTTTCCACTACGACGAAGCCAAAGGCACCGACCTAAACATTCAAGACAACTGGATCAGCACACTCAAGAATCATCCAGTGCCTGAAGTCCACCAGACCTCAAGCTGGCTCCGATCAAGACATGACGAAGTTCGAAGAACTGGCCGACACGCCAGCGCAAGGCAACGACGCCAGGGTGGCCCCAGAAGTCGAACCACCATAGGAAGACGGACGGCTTCCCGCCATCCATGAGGAATCAGAGGCAAACTCGAGGCACACAGCATGGAAGCGTGGCGCGCAGAACTACAAGACGAAAGGGAACTGTTGGAGGCAACTACAACAGACAAGCTCTGTAATGCACCCACACAGATGGTTACTGAAAACAGCGCGCTGGTCACAGTAGCTGAAGAACAGCGGGGGCACCTGCCTACGTGGGGTAACCCACAGGACATATACACAACCGAGACATATCATGTCCCATTGTGATCCACGGACGAAAATGACAGTTACGGGTTGGACCCTGACAAGCACGGGCAATGCGTAGAAATCTGCTTTACGGCAGAAGTGTGAAAAGGTAGTCTTATCCGAACAACAGCACAGGATATTTGACTTCCACCGCGTGACCGTCATGCGAGTATTTGTGGCCGCTGCAGCTAATCGAGCTGCAGTCGTTCAGGAGGGCGACCTTCTCGCGAAGGCAGATATCCATGCGAATCCAATCAAGGTGTCGATGGCCCTAGATACTGAACTCAAGACATGGTTTGACAACGAGTGCTTCAATCTTCAAGATATACCCACAGCGTCAAACATCAAGACTTCGAGGTACGTGTATACATGGAAGTTCGTCAAGAACGAAAAGGGCGAGCTAGGGCGTGCCATCGGATTGCGCCCGGTACTTGGGGTTCCAAGGACTCGAGGCCTTCGATGTGGAAGCGCTCTCAGGGGCGGCGCGGCGGCCGAGTCGGCGATTGCTCGCCAGCGCGGCGGCGTGCAGGGGGCAGTGGGCCATTGCTTCCCTTGACATCTACTTGGCTTTTCTGAGGGGGCTTACTTATCAGGGGCTTGCTGAAGCAACTGGTGAAAAGGGGCGCGCGGCGTGCTTTACATTGCCACCTGGTTCAGCATGCCACCTGGTTCAGCATCTGCGCTCGCCCCCCCCCCCCCCCCTCCCCGGCATTCGAGCGCCGCGATGGCTCGAGACGCTGGCTGCCAAGGATGCACCGAGAGCCTTCTTTTTGAAGCTCTTGAAGACCACAGGAGGCTTTGGTTTTAAACCCACGTCCCACGACGTTCGAGACGAGCTCCAGCCTTCTTACTGTCGAGCACGTCGATGACATAAACATGGCCAGCACCGAGGACACCATTGACAAGCGCGTCATGTGCGTAGAGGATACGTTTGGGAAGTGTACTCTCAACAAACACACATACCAACTGCGCCGCGAGATATGCGAAGGACAGCGACGGCAATGCCACTCTCGGCCAGGACGAGCAGGTAAAACGGCTCCGCCCTACCCAGCATCGCGAACTCACGGGCGCAGGTGCCGAAGCCTCGGCGCCGAAGATGGCAACTGACATGTTTGTCTTCAGAGGCGCTTTGGCTTACGCCCTTATCGCGCAAGTGCGGCGTGGCATCGCTACAGCGTGTCCCAGAACCGACCAACATGCAAGCGCGACGACTGAGCGCGATTTCCGGGAAGTTGCAGGCCCGCCCTCCAACGGGCGAGGTTAAACTGCGCAGCGACTCCCGCTACTGGCGTCTGAATGGAGATGCCGATGACGAAGCCGAAGACCATGGCACTCGCGGGGCAAACTTGCTATGGCGTGGACGCACGCATGCCAGCAAGCCCGTCGCCCATCTTGCCGACGCGCGCTGCAACTCTCATCGGTTGCAGGTCCGCCCGAGCTACTCAGCGGAAACGCTTGCCGCAGCCCGCGACTTGGAGGACTGCTTTCCCACGCTCGTCACTCTGCACGAACTCCACGCAGGACCGCTGACACCCACTCAACTAAAGGATATACTTGAGATGGGCGGCCTGAGCAGCAAGGTCACTTTGGCCGCCGATGTATTCAAGTCACTGTCAAGCAAAGACCTGAAGAAGCCGACTGAGTGCACACTTTTGGGACACATCAGTTGAATGCGACAAATGATGGAGCAAGGCATCGCGCATTGCATGCGGTGGTGTGGCACTCGCGATATGATCGCGGATGGCCAAACCAAAGGGGGCATCGACAGAGACATGCTCCTACAAGTCATGGGAGGAGTGCAATCCTTCAAGCGTAACCTGAAATGACAGACTCCTTACAGGGCTGGCCAGACGAGACCATCTGATCCACCTGAGGAGTAGTTATATGCGGGGTAACTTGCCTGCGAGGTAACTTGCCTGCGAGGTAACTTGCATGCGGGCCAACCTGCCTTTGTTGAGCCCGCCTGCTGCTGCCTACATTGTGTATTATCGTGCTTCGCTGTATAGCTGGCGGCGGACTCACGCTTCGTCTCCCCCCCCCGATTCTAAAAGAGGCTGGGCAAAAGGCGAAAGCTAGCGAACGTTTGTCCGTGGCCGTTTGTGTTCAAGTGGCCGGCCGCCAAGGTATGACTGCGCCTCATCGCGAGGCACGCGATTTGCCATTGAGACCGAACACATCATCGCTTGACATGGCCCGTCGCTCCCGCGACTCTCTCCTGCTCTTGGGACTATCGTTGCTACGGTATAACAGAGTTGGATGTGGGCTTCGCCTTAGGCGAAGAATTTCGTTGGACCTCCCGACCAGCTTCGAACTCGCAAGGAGAGGAGCCACGAAGGGCAGCAATGGGGCACAAAGGGCGCGAGCGAACATGGGGCACGAAGGGCATGACCCTGACGGGCGGGCCGAAAGGGCGGATCGATCGTGACGTCTGCGTGATTCGCCAGGAAATTTCCAGCGAGAGAGCGATTCGAGGAGGTCCCCAGCGAACGCGCGATTCCTGAATGGCAAGAGCGCGGCGCCTGAGCAAATTGCGAGGAAGTCTCAGGTGGGAGCGCGATTCTCGAGTAAAATGCGAGGAAGTCTCAAGCGGGAGCGGGGGACCGGAAGTATCCAGCGGGAGCCGTCGTTGTTGTAAACCGGGGACCAGGGGCACAGTTTGAGGAGGACGATCTTCCCTGATTAAAAAGAGGGTGCGAGCGTCAGGAGGGGCACTTCAATTGAAAAAGCAATGTGCGCTGGAGGGGGGATAAACCATAATTATTCTTCAGTATTACAACACCACCAACAACAACAACGCAAAAAACATAATCCTCACCACGGATCCCCAGTTCAGCCACGCACCCAGGGACAATGAATGACCGTTCGGCCCCCTCACTCTGACAACACTCGTGGCTGCTCAACGATTTGGGCTTCTTGGGCTGGCCCCCAAGACCTCCAAGACTGCTACGAAGGCCTCCCAGAGGGCTCCAGGACAGGCCTCTGGGGCCGTTCAGAGCACGTTCGAGGTTCAACGAAGAGAACAGAACGCGCAAGAGCGCCCAGAACACGGGGCCTGGGGCCATTGAAGCGCATTTGCTCTGTTCAAGATCGGGAGTTCGAAGTGATGTGTGGACGCATTATTGAATGCCTACGGCACGGTGGCGGATAATAACGACATTAGTAGAATTTCCGTTCTCGACGACCAGAACACTGAAGTCGAGTTCGAGACCCGCCATACTCTCTCCGATGGCGACCACCTGCAGATCGGCAGCATCGATGACAACATCGTCTGCAGCTCGGACGATCCAGAGTACGTATGCAATGCTGAGAGGCTGGCCGTGTTGAAGGGCCAGTACCGATTGGTCGACAGGGACACCAACAACATGAATGCTCCAGACAGCTACATCGCGGGCCACGCGATCACGACTACTTCGGACACGCGGAGGGTAGTCATCCCAGTGGGTTGGCCAGACCCGAAGCCGACTTTCGAAGTGAATTATTACAGCGGCAAGAGAGGCACATGGATCAGACACAACAAAGCCATCACGGCCGAGGAGGTGATGGGCACGGAGGAAAAATTGAACATGAAGGTGTGTTGGAAGAACGCGCAGAGGAGTCAAACATTTCCGACTGAGTACATAGCTCAGGTTGGCACGATCTCCCTCATCGATTCCCATGAGCTAGCCGACAGCCACGTCAGCTTGACTACCACCGTGCAGGGCCAGACCTCACCGCACGCACCTCTGATCATCAGCTTCAGGACCGACGATGCGCAGGCTGGTTCCCGCTACGGGCAGGTGCAGGGAATGACGCGTGTGCGCGTGACTTTCTACCAGACGACGGTGCTCGAACCACGGTTCATCGACGGTAGCAGTATCGACGAGTTTGCTGGCGAGGATGAATTGAGCGAGGCCAAGCAATACATCTGCGGAAAGTTGTTCAAGGAAATGTGGTCCTCAGACACGGAATTTGGTTTCCCCTTGCCCCGGGGGTGCTATTACCACGTGTATGGCGACAGTCGGGAGATCAACATTCTCCTCGACACCCGCAACGGACTGAGGGGCGGCTATGATTACCAGTTGGTTCTCACTGGCGTCGTGCAGCAGGGGGCCGTCCAGGGTGGCGAGTATGTTGAGATTCTCACCATGGACGACACTGACGAGTACCCCTACCGAGCTATCGAGCGCGGGCTGGCGTCGTTAAGCAAGGATGGGCAAATCGGCGCATTCGGGGACAGCGGTGTCATGTTCAGCAGCGAGGGCTTGACGGTATCAGGCGGTTCGGACGTGGGTTTGATTGAGTTTTCGGAAGGCGCCGTTTTCTCTGTGGAGCTACGAGGGGACACGACTGGTGGAGGTATCAAGGCCAGCTCGATATTGCGGATGTTCATGTGGCCATTAACGCAATGGGACATGGGTAGTACTTGCATGGTTAGTTGCGAGGCTCATGACGTGTCTTTGGCTCCGTGTGGCACGCCACAGTCCTGCAAGGGACTGGCCACAGTGGCGAACTTCCAGCGAAATTATGTGGAAGTAAGGCTACCGGCTTTCATGACAACAATAGACGAGACCACCTCGCACACCTTGCATTTCAGCGGCTTGCAGTTCCCTAGGGGGGGGTTCTTCCCGTCCAGATTGGGTGCGGAAATATCAAAGCCCGACGGCACCAGGCCCCACTATATCGAGTCAGTCGGCGCATTCATGTACAAACCTCCAGACGAAGGGCAGATGGTTGGCAGATTAGTGAGTTTTTTTGGAGATGGAAACGAAAAGCCGTTCGCTGGAGATACTAATAATGTTCTATACGCAAATATTGTGATGGCTGCCACACTCTATTCAGCAAGTCAAACAGGCGATGCTCAGATGAAGATAACCCTTCCCGTGGGATACGTATGCTTGCAACCAGATGATGTGGATGGCGAGTCTGGTTGGAAGAACCAGGTTAATTTGGGCGTTTTCGGTGGCCAGACCCCCCAGGGCATTGGTGCCCCGGACAACAGAGATGCAGCCACCCGTGGATGGACAGTGTCTGATAACACTTGCACCTACAAGTTGCGGCAGAACTCTATCATTTTCGCGGGCACTTCGTTGATGTTGCGCATCACGGTCAGCAATCCGCCACACGCCCTCCAGCGCGACAACGACACCAACGGCTGGCAGGTAACATTGTCATCCAAGGGCCACAGCACCGAGACTGTTGAATTCCCAGCCGTTTCGTTTGCCACCGCAAAGACAAGCTACAGCAAGAGTATGGCTGTGCTCGGCCACGTGACGGACGCGACCCTGGTCCCCACGAACTTTGCGCTGACGCCCGATGCGTTTGAGCCGTCTGAAGGTCACTTGCGGTTCTTTTTCCGCGCGCAGCAGTCCACCGGTGTCTTCTCACGCTTGCATCTGCACGCGCCAGATATTTTCGATTTCACTGCTTGCGAGGCACAAGATTTGGAAAACATGTATTACGCCACAGGAAGCGCCGGAAGGACGAGGCGATTGCCAGGCATCATATCTTGCCGGCATTTCGCGGAACCATATTCTTATGTGGAGGTCAGCCTCGAAGGCGAGGTATTAGCTGGGGAGCGTTACGCTTTCAGCATCTCAGTTGTGAACCCAGAATCCGTCAGCCCTGGCCTACTCAACGGTACTTTCCAGCTTTACACGCTCAGTAGTGAGGGCCATCACATCGACGGCACTCAGGAGACAATCTCATTCGTCGACCCGCATGCCGCTAGTTTGGATTGGGGTGGCCGTGCTGTAGAGAGCTTCAGCATGTATCGCACCCGACTTAACAGCCCGCTGGTGACTTGTGCAGGCGTCAACGTATCTAGCATGTTGCCTTACAGTCTCTCGAAGGAGAAAGCGATGGTGACGATTTCTCCCCTGTGCGTGCCAGAAGCCGTGAGCACGACACTTCGTATCATTGCCCCGCATGGCTTCATATGGGATTTCGCTGACAGCAATTTCTCTGGCAACTTGCCAGGCGGAGTCCCGCAACGGAAGGGCAACGTGCTATTGTGGCCCACGCCAGTGATGTACGAGTCCAGGGCTTTTGCTATGTACTCTTTCCAGGCGACGTTACAGGTGCCAGACGCATCTCCGACTGGTACTGTCAATGATTTTATTTTCGAATTCGGTTACGACGCCACCACTGTAGATGGTCGTGTGTCTGCGGCTGCGGTGCCAGCTCCATTAGTACGCTCTTTGGCGAACGCGGTGCTGGACTATGAGAGCAACGTGGCAGGAGCGCAGACCAAATTGATTTTTCAAATTCAGACCATCACGGACATCCTAATGGGCGGTAACCTCACCATCACTGGGCCCGCAGGTTTCCAGTTGTTCACGGGCTGCATGTTGGAGCCAGCCCCGAGTGCCAGGGGAAGCCCGTACGACGCGGAACCTCTGGCAGACAGCGAGGTGTTACCGACTGACAGCGCTTGCTCATCGGGAGCGAATGATGAGGCGCCGGGAAGTAAAACCCACCCAGAGGGTCCCACACCCAAGATTCCGTTTTCAAAACGAGACGACTATTTCTATGAAGGTCCAAAACAAGAACATATTGCGAGACATGGCGCATTGTGACATGCTTCGCCAAACAATGTCAGGCCACGCGCGTCTCACACCTGCCTAACTCAGATCGCAAAAGAGACCGCAGTTTCCCCGAGGGAGCCGCGAGGTCTCGACTCGATCCGCGTGGCCCTGCACCTCGCCGTGCCTCTAGGAGCCCACGAACGTGGCGACAGTTGCGCACTTCGCAGCCCCCGACGGAGCAGCGAGGTCTCGAATGATCTGCGTTGCCCCCTCCTCCGCCGTGCCTCCCAGGAGTGGCGAGCGCAGTTCGCAGCCCCCAAGGAAGCCGCAAGGTCTCGAAGTAATCTGCGCTACCCTCGCCCCGCCGTGTCTCCAAGGAGCCCACGGAAGTGACTACAATTGTGCAGTTCGCAGCCCCCGATGGAGCCGAGAGGTCTCGCTGGATTCACGCTGCCCTCGCCTCCGCCGTGCCTCCCAGGAGCCCACGAACGTGGAGCCGCAAGGTGACCCGCGTTGCCCTCACCTCCGCCGTGCCTCCCAGGAGCCCACGAAAGTGCCAATTATGCAGTTCGCAGCCCGCGAGGGATCCGCCGGGTCTCGAAGTGATATTCGCTGCCTCCCACGAGCCCACGAGCCGCAAGGCGCCTCGCGCTGCCCTCACCTCCGAACTGCGCAACAGTCGCCACTTTCGTGAGCTCCTGGGAGGCACGGCGGAGGTGAGGGCAGCGCAATTCACTTCGAGACCTCACGGCCCCGTCGGTGGCCATCCCCGACCTCGTTGCGAGAGGCTACGAGCAGGTCCCTTCTGCTGTCATTCCTCCTTGCCGTCTTTGCACATTGCATGCGTTGTCGCTGGCGCACGCGTAACTTCTCTAGCTATTGGCTCGAGGTGCCCTGCAATGTTTCGAAACCCACCGCGCAACATGCACTGATAAAGGGTCTGAGCCCCTCCCAAGAGACACCTCCAGCCAAAAATTTGGCTCCAGAGCCACCCCTGGTGAACAATTAAGCTTTGGAGTCATTGTTCATTAGAGCTGCAGCCACAATCCCCCTAGCATAGACACAGATGCTGGCGCAAAGGGTCCGTCTGACGCATGTTGTGTACATCTTTGTGATCTCGTCTGGATGGTTTGCGGAGAAGCCAAAATCAGTGTGCCTGTGTTGTCTGCTGGAAGCCAAACGTGCGCGCACAAAGAGGTACTTGCCGCACGACTACACAGAGCTTGCCATTTGGGTTGAATTTGCGGGTTGGCGCAGAAGCGCGCCCCAGCCTGCTTGCCACCGTGCGAAGCCGTCCTTGACGTGGCCGTGCGTTTATTCCGAAACGGGACACCCCTGCAGAGACGCATATCGCACGTGCGCGGCGTCTGTCAGTTTCTCCACACACCAGTGGCCGCATCAGCAGACACAAAGCGGTGGGTGGGGGGAGCCGAAAAGCACGCGCCAGACACAGCACGGTGGTTGAAAATCCGTGCCACGAGTTTAGAAACACGTCAATTGCATCGGTGGACGAGGAATGCTGGCTATCACGTGTTGGCAGAGTCCTCCGCTTCCGCGGCCGCCCTCCGCCTTTTTCTCCCCTCTTGCATCTGGACAATTAGTTCGCCCGCCCCCGGCAAGAGCGCGCGTGCGGATTGCTTATTCCGCGCTGCGACGTAAAACATTGCAGCTGCCCGTGGTGTTCCGGGTTGCTGGTATGTCACCGCTCCGCCATGCTGCCGCAGGCACATCCAGGCGCTGCGATGACTTCAGGCTCTGTTCGGAGCGGTTTCGGCAATCGCAGTGCGCAAACCTGCCGCGAGATGCGACGTCGATCTCGGCGGGGCAGGGCACGCAAGGCCAGGGCGCCCGACAGCTGGCTTGAGCTCGACCCCGCGGCACGATATTGATGTGGCAGACGCCCCCTCGCAGGTGCCCGCCGCGGCCGCTCAGGCTGCAGGCTCGGCAGCAAGTGGCAACTCGACGGTCCAGCTTCAGGAGATGCTGGAGCGGCAGCAGCCTAGGACAGCGACCTACATGACGCACATCAGGGAGGTGATCGCGAGCTTCGAGACCGTGACTAGGAAGACGATGGCTGCGTCCTTGGCCGATCTGGGACAGTAGGTGTAGCGGGCTCACAAGGGCATCGATACGCATATTGGCGACCTCTTTGGGCGCTCCGCGGCATGGTCGACACAATCTCGGCCACGCTCGCGCTTTCAGAGCAGGCGGTCCCAGGGAAGGACACTGCGAGCCTGACGGCTTCAACAGGCTTGCTAGTCCCGTCGTGATTTTGGGCCAGCGTGGCTGAGCCCTTCGTTCAGAGCGCGTTCAATGTGGACCATCTGGGTTGCGTACAGGTCAGCCCCGCTTGCTTGTACCTGCTGGGAGGGCTGCTGGTGGCGCAGCCGCGCGCCGCGGCGCTCCCAAGATGGCTGGAGCTCATTCCAGCTGCGCACGCCGTCGGTCACCCTCGCCCCGCTGCACACGGACGTCGACAAACCGCCGCGCCAGGTTCGCGCGGAGATGCAGGCGCGGCGGCTCTGGCCCATCTTGGCGGATGCGTTGCCGGCGCACGAGTGGCGCGGACACCGCGCATGTGGCATCATCTCCACTCACCGGACGACGGTCGTTCGCGCGGGGCCGCAAGGCGCAGAAGATTTGACTAAATTGCTCGTGACCCTAGGGCGGATAGCAGGCCAGGCATCCGCAATCGGTGGGAGCTTGACGGTTTCAAAAGCCCCCTAGGGCGTGCGGCGCGGCAGTCGCGCGGCAGTCCAAGCCCGAAACGAGCATCGCGGGCAACCCCGCCCGCGTTCGGCCGAACTCCACGACGCGGTGACGTAGACGCACGGGCATTGCTGTGCCGCGCGGGCGATCGCCGTCACGGGAAGCGGGGCGTCCTGCTCCGCTCGAGCGCGGTGCCGATCGCGCGCGAGCACGGGACCCCCACGAGCACGGGGTCCCCATCCTGCACCAAACGCGCAGCTCCACAGCCGGAGGTCGAGGACTCCGTAGCGTCCCTGGAACCAGACAGCCCCTGTGGCGCGCGCGGAGATCGACCCCGGCGGGCCTCAAGGCAGGCCCGCCCGCGCCCAGCCCAGACACCGTGGCTTGAACCGTCACCCCCCAGCGCGCGCCGCGCGCACTCCTTTCTCCTCCCAAGCGCTACCGCCTCCCTCCTCCGACCTCCTGACTTCTCCCTCCTGCCTCCTCATTGGGTCTCCCCATCGCTGCTGTCGTCCTCCTTCCTCATCCTTCTCCCTCCCTTCGTTTGTTCGTTCCGTGCGGCTTGGAACGTGCCCGTTTGTGGAGGAAATCGTGCACCGGAAAGGGGGCAGGTGTTGGACAGTACAGAAATGGAGGCGTCTTTCCTCTGGAGGCGCCTCGACCCAGCTCCCTCCTCCTCCCTCCTCCTTGTCCTCCGTCAACCCCTTCTAATCCCCCTCCTGCCTCCTACCTCCTCCTTCTCGTCCTCCTCGCCAGTGGCCGCTTCACATAGAGACTTCTTCCGTTCGACTTGCAGGGAAGGGCATATGGTATCCCAAAGTTTCGCAAGATATGCAGTACCACGTTTGGCTCGCGCCGTAGGGAGCCACTGCACACATTATAACACTGAAGGAAACGCATGTGATGTGCGCATTCATAGTGCCGCACGCGAGCTAGACAAACACATGCGCTTAATGAGCAAACGTGTGGATGTTGTCTTCTACCCGATTTGTTCAATGGTGCACAAGACAAACATTACTGACAGTGAGAACGATGCTTTTATTGACAGCTGAATTGCAACTCCTGTCATTCCCTCTGACATCGGCAAAGCGCCAACGCGATAATCGATTGCGTTTTCTTGCGCAGCCATTACTGCTTCGCCAATATATACATATATGGGAGATCCCGGCCCCCGCGCCCCGGGCCGGAACCTCCCTTGTATATGCGTGGGTCCCTCCCCGGGCGGCGTCCCCAGGGGTTCCGAGACGGCCCCAAGAAGGCCGAGGAGGCCCCCAAGTGGTCCCAGAGGACCCCGAGACGCCCAAAGATCGTTCCAAGACGCCCACGATGATCCCAAGACGGCTTCAGTGGCCTCCAAAACGCGGCTAGCGGTCTCCAAGAGGCCTTCCCAAGAGGGTCCCAAGAGGCAAAAAACATTGATTATCCATGGTTTTTGAAGGTTTTTGGGGGTTCTCGCCTTTTCGGAGATCGGACGCTCCAAGACCGCCCAAGAGGCCCCCAAGACCGCCCCAAGACGGCCTGAGACGGCCCCAAGACGGCCCCAAGACGGCCCAAGACGCCCCCAAGACGGCCCACGATGCCCCCATGACGGCCCAAGACGGCCCCAAGACGGCTCCAAGAAGGGGTCCTGACGCGGGATCTTCGCGGACTTCTCGAGCCTTCGACTCCAAGAGGCTCCCAGGAGGCCCCAAGCGGCCCCCAGGAGGCGCCCAGGACACTCCAAGAGACCCCCAAGAAGCCGCCAGGAAGCCCCCGAGAGACTCCCAAGATGCCCCAAACCAACTTCGAACAGGCACACACACGGGTCACAAGAGGCTTCGGATCTGCTTCCACGAGGCCCCTGAGAGACTCACCACGAGGAATCCCATGCGCCTCCGGGACAGCTTCTGCTGTCCAATCGACGACATCGGGGGACGATGCGTCTCCCACCGCTCCTTCCTTGCTGCCTTCCTCGTTCGCTTCCCTGTTTCCTGCCTGTCCCTCCTCCGCCTCTGTCGCCTGGCTTCCCCTGCTGCCCCCGTCACCGGCGACCGTTCCCTCCGTGTCGTGCTGCAGCCACTTCCTCTGCGAGCCTGGTCGCGGCGGCCCTCCGGCCCCCGTGCGAGCACCGCGGCGAGCGCTGGCCGCTACCCGCGATTCGCAGCGGCCGTCTCCGCTCGCGCGGCGGCCCAGCCGCTGCGGCGCCGCAGCCCACGTGCCGCAAAGGCAGCATGGCCGTCCACCGCCGCCGCCGTCGTCGTCTTCGTGACCGAATGCTCACTTGTAGAGACGAATGATTGATGATCTCTGGAATGTGGTCCGGGCGCTCTCGCATGGACGCCGGCTGTATTTGCTGTCTTAATCGTCGCCCTCGTCGTCGTCGTGGACTATTCGTTCATTCTTCGTGCATTTGACATTCAGATGCTCTTCGATTCGTTGCTTTTGCAAGAGGGGGAGGCGGAGGAGGAGGAGGATGATGATGATTGGGACGAGCGCCGCTTCAGGCGCGTTGACTTCGCCTGAGAGTTCATTGTGTCCATGCCGGAGGTCTCCACTCGTCCCCGGGATGCCTGCGTGAACTTCCCCATTTGCAGTCACCTCAAATCTCGACCGAAGAAGTCAAGCACATCCACCAGAGGCCGACTGCCAGTCTGCTCCTCCTGCACTGCCCGCCCCCTCTGCGAGCATGACCGATGCACTTCGCCGGCCGCGCCTCCCTTCCGTAAATCCGCGGTGCCGAAGTTTTGCACTTGCCACTGCGCCGACCCCTGCCACGACGTGCGCAGAGACTGGGCGAGATGTTCGAATCACAGACTCGGCTGCCACGAACTGTCCATGAAACGAACTGCAGGAAAATGCCACGCGTGCTCCGCTGGTCATCTCCCATGCCGATTTGCGCCCCTCGGCTGCTCATCCTTCATCCTTTGCACAGCTGCCGCGAAAAAGAGCTTTGGCCAAACGCATCCCTCCTGCACGTCTATGGCTGCCCGCAGGTGCCTCCATGACCCCGCCAATCCCAAAACATGCTCGGCAACTGGATGCCCCAATTTGGTAAACCGCGGGGAGGGCCAGCACTTGTGCCCCGACTGCCTGCAAAACGCACGCCCATGTTCCTTGCGTTTTCGTCGCCGTGGCTCTTAGCAAACACCGGACTCATGCAGCGTGTGCCATGCTCAGCCCGGGCCTGGGGCATCGCAACCGCCCAGTTCAATTGCCGATGACTCTCCTGCCGTATCCAGCCCCATGTCCTGCACCACGCCTCGCTGTTCCCAACAACTCATGCACGTGCCTTCCCATGCGTCCTGCCCCAAATGCACCATGTGTACCCTTGGCCTAGCCCCATGCCAAACAGTGACGTGCAACTTCCGCGCGAAGACTTCCCGCGGCCCATTCTGCTTCGCATGCGAAACCCCCTCCTGCGCTGAACATCTGCACCACTCCCTCCTGCTCCAATGTAGTCCATGGCGTCGGTGACTCAAGGTGCTGTCTGTGTCTCACGTCGTCCTTCCCCTGCTCTACACACGGGTGTCCCGGCCGCTCCACCCCCGGCACCGATGGCTTGCGTTCGAAGTGCATGCGACAAGGACCTCAAGCACAATCGGTTCGCGACCCCAGAGCGACTCGCTTGTGTGATAACGCCGCCTTTGGATGCAACCAAACCGTCGACAGTCGCAGCTCGGCTCTCACCTGTAAGGCTTGCACTTCTCGTGGTCCTCCCTGCGTGCACTTCCGCCTCGGATGCACCTTGCGAGTGGGGTCCGACAGTGCAAAGACGCAATGTCAATCGCGCCGAACAGCGGGTCCGCCTTGCAAAGGGCGGTCGGGGACGAAGTGCGCCAAAACCCAACCCCCTAGCAAAAGGGGCGCGCCGAGCTCTGCCCGGAAACAGCGGCATGGGTGAAAGGTGCCGCCAACACCGATGTGCGTTCCCTGGCTGCCGCACTACCCTGCCAAAAGCTTTCCACTCGCGCGGCCTCTGTCGCCAGCGCGCCACCTGCTTGCCAGCGGAAACAAATAGCAAATATCGGGTTTCCTCTAAAGCACCTTGCGAGCCTGCGCGCGTCAGAACCATCGCCGCACTCCGGCGCCAAGAGGTCGCTCGCCTCGTCCGAGCCCACCGCCAAGAGCAACAGTCGCCGCCGCGCTGTGCATCCCGGCGCGGCCGCCCTGCTGCCCACACCCGCCCCAAAGGAAAAGGCACTCACCACGCCTGCAAGATCCACCGTTTCTGGTTCGACGAATCTACGCGCCACGTGAATGCTGGAGTCCGCATCGGGCACCGAGCTGGCTGGCGTTCCCTGGACAACTGGAGGCCCCGAAAAGTACGACGCAACGCCCTGTCGCCCACGGGCCATTTCGAGCATTCCTGTTCATTCTGCGGGGCGCTGCACTTTCAAAACGAACGTCTGCAAGCG